CTGCCGCCGCGCCCCAGCCCGCCTCGCCGTCCGCTTGCCGAGAATGGGCCCGAGGGGCTGCGCGCCTTGCAGGCTTCGTGGGGGGCGGACACGACAGCGGAATAGCCCGGCGAGGGGGGCTCCGCGGGCGGAAGGCCATGCCCCGCCCCGCCGGCGAGGAGCATTCGCTCAGAAAGAAGCAGGAGACGCGGAACGACGCGACGCGCGAGCGTGCCATTTTCTTCCGTCCGCGCTCGGCAGTGCTGGGATTTCTCTTTGCGTGCGCTCAGAGACCCTCTTCTTTTGCTGCTGCTCCTGCCCCAGGTTGCACCCTGTTCAACGCCCTGGCATGCGCCAGTGGAAGAAGGGACAACGGAGGATGGTTTCCTGCAAAGGAATCCGGACACGCTACTTATACGTGCGCAGAACAGCTGCGTCTCAGGCACACGCTTCTGCTGCGCTGCGCGGTTCAGGCAAAGCCGGTGGGGAATTCGCGCAGCGCTCAGAGAGTTGGGACGACCCGCCCTGCAGGGGCCTTGCGCGCCAGCCTGAGCCCACCTCCCCAGGCCCGCAATGCCCAGAACGCAAGGAACTCTGGGATTCTTCAAAATCCGCACTGGGAAGAATTCCAAAATCCACATGGGGGGGATGCATTCAGGAATGATGCTCCTTTTATTTATTTTTTGCTTACTGTTCATTCAGCCGTCTTGGGCCCCTGAACGGTTTACGCTCAATAACTCCACATATAATATAGTGGAATGTGCTCCTTGGAGAAGCGTGCCTGGCGCTGAGTTTATATTCTTTTCGGCGCCAGGTTAAAACCTTTTTATTTAATTGCTATTTTAAAAACTAGCATTTTATCGCTGAACAGTTGCTGTCTTTGTTTTCTGTTTTTTTGTCATTAGGTACCTTTTTATCGATTTGTTATTTAGAAAGATCATTTTATTGTATTTTAACTGTATGTATTGTGAGCCATCCTGAGATGCCGAGTCAGCGACGGCATGCAAAAGTTTTAAATAAATATATAAAATATTAAAACAGATTAACAATGAAGAAAGCATTCTAATTAAACAATAAGTAAAACTAAGCAAAACAATTGATGTAATTAAATTAATAAAAGCAAGAGAAAGTAAAACAAAGACTTGGCTGAAGATATTGATAACATATTGCTTACACATGAAAATACTGAGTGAATAAAAATGTTTTTGCCTGGCCCTGGTTCACCTGCCGTGTCGGCACCGGGCAAATTTCCCTGGGCAGTGAATTCCATAGTTGAGGTGCCATTACTGAAAGTGGCAGCCAATTACATGAGGGGGAAGAATGCCAGACTCAAATTTTGTCATTCAGTGCACTCTATACGTTTATTTTAAATGTGTGTCTTATTTTTGTAGCTCAGGCAACACCCATTTTATGCTTCCAAACAGTCAAGGGGAGAATTCTGGAGTCCTGCTTTTCCATCTCTTTCCTTGCCTAAATAACATGTGCATCTCCTGCTCAATAGTTTGTAGCAGAAGGCAGGAGTCCTCGGCTCTCTGTGTCGATAGTATTTCTGGCAGCTCTTCTGAATTAGCAGGAAGACCATCAGAATTGCCATGGCAACGCCAGACCAGAAAAAGATGCTTTTTTCCCCTCAAATCTGGAATATGAAAGCATTTGTTTTAGTAACTTTATGAGGTTCCAAGAGAGACCACCATGATTCTAGCATCTCACTCTTCTGGATGAGGGGGTGAAAGGATATCTTTTTAAAAAATGAAAAGACATGGTTGGAGCCATCCCTGCTAGTAAGCGCAACCCCACCCCCACATCTCCAGGTTTCGGGAGAGCTATGTGATGTGCCAAGCCCACTCCAGAAGCAAGAAGCAAGATGTGGAGGAAGGTGTTGTGTGTGTTGCAGGGATAATTGTGATCACTGGAGAGCACTTAACTTGCAACCAAATTCCCTTCTGTGGTTAACACTTTCTGCAAATTTCTAGCATGCCATGAAGGCATCTGTGTTGCCCACCCTGCCTGCTTGGCCTTGCAAAGGCCGCCACTGATAAGAACTCACAGTTCTAGCAGACCCTGCTCCAGAACACGCCTTATCATTGCCCAAAAGCTGAAATATGCTGAATGACCTTCGGTGTGTGGTTGGTGGAGATACAGCTCTTGCAAGCTGAGCCTGCCCTGAATATCAACACGAGCAAATTTAACTGGGGCAACAAGGCAAAATAGCCCCCTGGTTGGAGATGTGGGGCCTGCAGAGGATGGATTCCTTCCTCACCTTCATTCCCTTCCCAGCCTGCCTCTTCCACAAAAGCACATTTGCCAGAATAGCTTATGTAAAGGTATTATATCAGGGAAAATGCAATGCTACCTTGATTTCCTTGGAAGGAAAAAAAGTTGGACATAAATATTGTACACACACACACAAATATAGAAGGGTGCATAAAGAAATTCGGATGTGGTCATCCATAGGAGAAAGGCACACAAAATCATCCAAACATAGGGCCAATTTTTCAAAAGTATGACTGATAGTGAAATGGGATGAAATAAACTTAATATGGGAAAAATGAGAAACAGAGTGAAGCAAAATTTGACAGATTTCTCGTCTCCACAGTCCTTGGTGTTGTACTGGGGTCAGAATGACTGAAGAACGGCTGAGAGCCAGTGTGGCGCAGTGGTGAAGAGCCTGGGACTGGGACTCAGGGGATCCGGGTTCGAGTCCCCACTCAGCCATGGAGCCCACTGGGGGACTTTGGGCCAGTCACAGACTCTCAGCCCAGCCTACCTCACAGGGTGGTTGTTGTGGGGATAAGATGGAGGAGGAGAGATGATGTAAAGAATTCTCTAAACAGTAAAAAAAGGAAAAGCAGGATATAAATCTAACAAATGGATAAAAGAATGAGAGAAACATACCTGTGACATTTATGGTTACATATCCTATCACAGCCACATCTCCCTCTTTTAATAGTATATAATTTCCAGAGTCACCAGAGGTTAAACTGCAGATCTGAAGGGAACAGTTGAAATCCAAGAGTTCCCGCCCAGTGTAGGCTGATCCATTCACTTGCCCTTGTTTATTTGGAGGTAGGTAATAGGTTAAGATGCGCTTTGCCCAATTCTCTTTTCCTTTGTACCAAGTGCAGCTAATAACATCACCCAGCTTTCCTCCCGGTGTTAGGGTGACCTTTTGTCCAAATGCTGGATTTGGTGGTTTGCATGTGAAGGGAACTTCCTTGGGGATCACATCCAGGGCATGAATCGGAAGGAGGAAAGAACTGAGAAGCGAAGCTGCAGTGGAAGAAATAAGAGGGGAAAACTTGGCTTCAGGGGAAGGGCTCACCTAGGTGCCAACAGCCAGCTAGAGCTTTTTCCAGAAGCAGAAATGGCAGAGCTGAGGCTGTCATGGAAAGGTGAGATTCCCTGGGGAAGATCATCATGCAAGGCAAAGCCGAAGACGGACGCTCAAACGGGAGTTGGTCCTGCACGGTTCCTGGATGGGTTGCCTCCATGCAGGGCGCCTCAGCCTTGAATGTAGAGTGGCTAAGCAGGGAGGTCCTGGGTGGGGCCCTGCGGGGGTCTTCCATCCGCAGGGCTGCCGTGAGCGGAGACACTGGGCAGCACAAAACAGGCACAGGTGGCCTCAGTGGGCTCATCCACGCGGCCACTGCCCTTCCAGGGCCTGCCAGGATGTGCGAGGAGAGCTCGAGCAGCGGGTGCAACCGGGGACCCTCCCTGGGGATCAGGCAGATAATCCAGCCCTCCCTCCAAGTGCGTGGGGCGGAAATAGAGGGAGCCGTTTGTCACGCCGGGAACCGGAGACATACGAACACGGGAAGAGCGACGCTGGATCCGACCGGGTCCATCAGGCCCAGCGCTCTGCTCACACCTTGCCAAGCAGCTGCCCATGGGCTCCCACGAGCAGGGCACACAGGCCACGGCACCCTCTGGCCCATGTTCCCCAGCAACTGGTGCACCTAGGTAGCATTAGCCATCAGGACTCGCAGTGGCCATGGGGGGTTGCCCAGTCCCCCTTGAAAGCCGCCCGATGGGGGCCTGAGTCGCCCTGCTCTGAGCTTCACCTGTGAGGAGCGCCGCCCGCCAGGAGCCCCGCAGCCCGGCGCCCCGCAAGTGGCCCGCGGCCGCTGCTCCGCCCGCCTCGTCCGCATGCGGCTCGCTCGCCGCCGCCCGCTGGTCGCGGTCCTCGCTGCGCTTGGCGTCTGACGGGACAGCGGCGGCCCTGCGCGCTCGCCGCCCGACCCACGAGCTCTTCCCCGGCCGGAGCTCTGGAGGAGAAGCGCTGCCCGGGCGCGCCCGCCGGGGAGGAGAGGCGAGCGCATGGTGACGGCGGCCAGCGAGTTCGCGGGCGGGCGGGCGCGTTTCTCGGAAGGCAGCTGGGCAGGGCCGCGCCGATACGCGAGGAAAACCGAAGAGGATGCCCGCGTAGGCGGGAGCGAGAAGGAGGCGACCGGCAGAACTGCTCTGGGATGCCCGAATCGCGCCTCTCCCGCGCGTTCTTGGGGCGCCACTCCGGCGCATGCATTGGAGGAAAGCCCCGTTCACACCAGCGAGAGCTCGCCACGTGCGCACGTGCCGTGAGTCCAGCTCCATAGCGCCCCATACTGTGAGCACTGGGCGGCAGCCTCGCCTCGCCAGGGGAATCAGGCAGGACTTTCCCGGCCCTCGCTGGAGATGGCAGGGCTCAGACCTGGGCCTTCAGATGCTTTGCTGGAGGCGGAGAAGGGAACTGGTCCGGTGCTGATGTCCGAGAGCTGGATGGACGCCCAAGGAAGCATTTGGGCACGGATGGATGGAGCCCGAGTGGCTGGAAAAGCGTGAGAGAAAGGAGCAGGGCACAGGCTTGACCAAGTGCCGGTGAGCCCAGTGGAGTGGGAAAGCGCCAGTCACACGCTCCCTGTGTCCAGGTAGCTGGGAGCAATGGGACTCTGGAATTACTCAGTGGGACTTCCTTTGGAGCCAACGTGCAGAGCATTTTCCTGGTCAGTTGACACACACGCAAAGACAATCTGCTGGAAAATTCTCTGCCAGAGGGACAGCCAGTTGCAGCAAAACCTCTTGGCCTTTCAATGCACCAGAGGACTCTTTGCTGAGTCGGTGAAACTCTCAATGGCATCGCCTCATTCCTTAGAAATATTGCCTAGTTAGGGAATTCTCTGGCATGTAGATGCTGCTTTGTTGCGATGGGGGTGGCATAGACATATTTTAAATAAATAAATTGATGGATTGCACCATCACTTCGGCTGGTCCATGTTCCCCTTCCAACTCGCAACAGCCCTCAGGGGCTCTGGCGGAACATCGTCCTCTCTCTAGTCAACCAGCCATGCAAGATTCTTTTCAGCAGCAAAATGGCCCAAATTGAAGACTGGGCCTCCTTTATGTTCTCAAAGAATGGAAGGGTGAGAAATGTGTTGGTCGGCATTTCAGTGTGAGCTTACCAGACTCACCCTGTGCATGAGCTGGCATGCAATTTGCTGTTCAGATCCATAGACCTCTGTACAAAAATGTATGCACAGAAGATGAGCACACACAAAATGCCCGTTTGGAAAATCCTTACCAAGATGCTTTATTCAGTGGGAAAGGTCTCTTGAAAATTTAATATTTACAAAAATATCTATGGAAATCTATAGAACTTTTCACATGGCCAAAAAGAAACAGAAATGCAAGCAAGGAAACCACGCTCCCCTGAAGTCTTGAGTTAAATTAGGATTCAGAGTTAGGAGTCGCGCCAGTGGTTGGAGGGATTCCTGCATTAGCTCTTCAGCTCATTGTACACATTTTCGCCTCCTGGCTGCAGAGTCTGAAGAGAAAAATGGAAATAGTGCTGGATACAGTCCCCAATCTCAAGCTCTTTCAGGTTTTCCTTGGTTTTCCTGGTCACCATATCAATGGGGTGGTCTTCTATCTCTTACTCCTGGAAGCAGGATCTATTTATGGAAGACTAGCCAACGAAATCCAATGTTTCAGTTTGCTTAACCTATGCTGACTGCAGGTTGGCCTTTGCATGAATGTGGACACCCCGGGCTGGACTCCCAGCGACCAGGGCGGTCTCCACCCAAGGCTTTATTCTGCAAGTGTCCTGCCGCCTTCACAGAATTTTAGAAGCTGTACGGGTGCGATCCTTCTTTGCAACTCTCCTGTGCTTCCCACTGCTGCTTCAGTCGCTTGTCTCACTGATGAGGCAAAAGAGCCGTGCGATACCTTTCGACTGTCGTACCAGGAGCCCCCCCCCCCATCTGGAAGCTACCCAGATATGCAAGTAGGGAGACCTCTCGTACCTGTGTAGAGCTGAACACAGAGGGAATTCCAGCAGGTAGAGATACCTAACCCTGCAGGGACGGGGGGAACCCTGCACCTACTGAGCTATCTATCATCTATCATCTATCTATCTATCTATCTATCTATCTATCTATCTATCTAAAGTTTTTATATGCCGTCCCCTTGCTATATAGCCTTGGGACAGCTCACAGAAATAAATAAATAAATACAATATACGTAACCATAACAATTATAACCCAGAAACACCCTGGCTGCACAATAAAATCTATAAACATTAAACGGTGTTAAAATGTTGTTTTAACTAGCTCAGCTCTCTGAGACACAAGAGGCCGATCCTCCCTGGAGAACACAGGGACCATATGCTTCTCTTCGGTCCTGATCCTGGCTTTCTCTGGGTCTGTTGGAGACCCTTTCTGAGAGAAGGATGAAGCGTGGGCCTCCACTTACCTCGTATATGTTGCTGGCCTCAGAGGAGTTCCCTTTCTTGACCTGTATCCATTTTTTAAAGAAGAAAGAAGGCTGCTGAAAGCCATTCACCAGTAGAAGCAGCCACAGCCGCTGAATCATTGGGCAATCTTCCCCGACCTGGTCCCTTCCAGATGTTTTGGACCACGGACTCCCAGTATTCCTGACCATTCACTATGCTCGCGTGGAGCTGAAGTCGCAGCGTTGGGAGCAGAAAGTTGGGCTACATGGCAAACTAGCCTCCTGCATCCCCATCAGAAAGACTTTCTCCTGGTGGTCCCAAATGGACCCCTGGCCTGGCTGCAATCTCCCAGGAGAGCCTCCAGCCAAGTCGCTTCCTGGGGTGTTGGGCAGGCATAGAAACACAGAAGCAGCGCGAGCCAGAAGAGGTCTCCCGGGCCATCTAGTCTGACCTCCGGCACCAGCCGGCTCTGCTCACGACACGCCCACCGTGTGCACGTCCAGGCAGTGGTGGACCTTGCTGAAGAGCTGGCCCAGTGAGCGTGGCTAGATGTTCTGCCTGCCTTAAAAGCTGGAAATCCACTTATCATTCCTCGCGTAGCACTGTTGGTCCATTTGGCCCAATACTGCTGACACGGACTGGCAGGAGCTCTCCCATGTTTCAGGCAAGGCTCCCACCCGGCTCTCCCCAGAGAAGCTGCAGATTGAAGCGGCGACCAGCAGGCAAAGTGAGTGCTCCCTCACAGCCTGTTCCCCCATCCTCTTTACTCGTTTACTCGTTACTCTTCCTCTTTACTCATCCTCTTTACAGCCCAGCCCTCCTCTCCTCATGTGCCACTGATTGTAAGACCTCTAGGGCAGAGAACTTGCCCCTAATTCTGTTAGGAATCGCATTGTGCTTGGCACGGATTCTCAACATCAGCGGAAACTATTTCTCAGCAGTGGGAATGGCTTGTCCCTCTGATCCAAGGCCTTACCTGTCTAGAAGCAGGAACATTCTCATAAAGTGAAGCCACGGTGTTGGCCTGGGTAGACATTCTCTTCTTTTGGCAACGGGCACCTGAGTGAGGGAGAAGGCTGGGAATCAAACCCTAACATTCCACCCACACCCTAATTTTGTTTTAAATGTGTGACTTTATATTGGTAGCACAAAGGAGGCAAGATCAGAGGTACAGACGGAAGCCACTAACAGGGCGCCATGCAACAGATCCCCTTCCTTAACCAGGAAGGGAAGCCCAGAACCAGGTGCCAATCCTTCCCTGCTCCAGGCAGCATTCACCATTCCCATCCTATTTTTTGTAGCCAGGCAAGGACTTCCGTGCTCTTAGTGGCCAGGTCAACATCTTACTCACAGAGAAAGAAGCAATGCAGGGATCCAATCAAAGCCAGTGTGGCAGCCAAGGACACGATGATCACCAATACAGGGTGGGAAGAAGAGTTATCCTGAACAGGAACTGCAGAAGGAAAGGTATTTTGAGAACTTCATGATTATGTGGAAAAGGACAGGCGTTCACCTAGTCTGTCAGCCTTGTGGATGAAGAACTGAACGGATATCAGTTTAAAAACACAGGCTGAAAGGGATACCATCTGCGACTATGTCTGCAGTGAGGTCTGCATATGTCTGCATTAGTGCCTGGCCCAGAGGTGAATTCTCTCTGCAGCGGTGCCTGATTTGAGAAAGTACAGCAGATCTGAGAAATATGGACCAAGCTGTGGCACAGAGTCTGATTTCTAGAGTCTCCTGAAGTGGGTGAGGTGAGTCTGTGGGTTTCTCACAGTTCAACGTTTGGTTCACCTGGAATGTTGAGAATGTTTCTTATGAAAAATGTTTGCATGGACATTTCCATTCAGTTATGTATGCATGTCTCCTAATGCATACCAAGTTACATGCAATTTTGTTTGAGAGACACATCTTTTTCAAGTCATACTGTTCACTTCTGAATTTTTTTTTTCAGTAATGTCTGAATTTTGGGGTGCACTTTCCCCATAAAACATGCCAAGTTGTGTGTGTGTGTGTGTTGACTGGCAACTCTTGTATACAATATGGAGAAGAGCAAATTTCAGAGGCTGAGTTTCAGTTCACAGCTCAAAAGAATGAAACTAAGATGCCATCTCCTCTCCTGACTTCTAGGACCAGAGGATTCAGGACTAGAGTTGGGTTGGCCACTTTTTAATTTTTAACTGGCTTTTCTTCTGTGCCTTGAACTGAAGCCAGACAAACAAAAGATAGAGATGCTGTGTTCGTGAAAGGCATCAGCCCGTATTAAATGAAAGTGCAACGGCTTGCAAAATCAAGCTCAGTTGCCACAGCCCCTCTCACAAGTACGCACACTCCTATGTGCTGCAGCTTTCTCAGCCTGATTTTGGCCAAAAGACTGCTCTTTCAACCAACTAGCTTTTACCATGCAAAAATATGAATGAGCAAAACTGGATTTAGATGACAGATTAGACTGAAGTATTAGCAGCAGCAAGAAAGGGGTCGAGCTGTTACCATTCTCTGGGATCAATTCTTCAATACAATATGGTAGGATGGAAAGTTGATTCTAAACTCCTTGGAAAGGGATGGTGGATGGATTCTTCCATGTCTCAGGCTGTTTCAGTGAACCTTTCCATTGCGTTGTGTCCCGCAATGGGGACCCGTGGATCTCATGCACTAGAACCTCCCCTGGGATGGTCAGGAGTGGAACAGGTGAGCTAGACTGCCATTCTTGGTGGGCATGACAGAGGCGTCGTACTTCAGATTTGAAGAAGACCTTGATGATACAGTAGTGGGAGTTCTGGAACCTCAGGGAGAGGGACTGGCCTTTGAAGTGTCCTCCAGGGAACATTTTGGAAGAGACGAGAGAAGCTGAAGCAGAGGAAGAGGGAGAGCCCATGCCTCACCCAGTCCCTGACCCCATAACGAGGCCCTGGCAGAGAGGAGCTGCTCAGTTAGAGGGCTTGTGTGGGCCTCACTGGCTGGCCCTTCCCGGTGGGAGCCACCCCACGGGTGCCTCCCGGAAAGTCATCAAAAGGGAAGGATGTGTGGGAGAAGTCCCTTGTTTGGGCGCGACATTCAGGACATGACCGGGGGTCATCTTCCATCTCACTCAAGGATTCATCATCATCATCATCATCATCATCATCATCATCATCATTATTATAACATGGCTGCTTTGTCTTGCAGCTGTGAAGTACCAATAAAGACTTGCATTACAAAGAGACGGTCTGGTGTTCTGGAGCCGAAAGGCAAGAAGGGAAGAGCTGAGCTCACAGCAGCAGCTTCTGGAGGCATTAGTAACACCTCTTTCAGTTAGCTCCACCCACCTCAGCACAGTGTTGCCGCCCGATGCCCTGGAACCATCTGGAGGGCTGCTCAGCCTTTGGAGGCAGCACCACCCGATTCTGCCCAGCTCCGCTGGAGGGCCGCTTGCTGCGGCCACATGCTGTCAGGTTGTCTGGGACTTAGGCTGCCCCTATGAACGAATGACCCCCAAAAGTCCTATCCTTGACAGCTCCTATTCAGCTCCTGCAAACTCAAGGCATCGTCCTACCATGAACAGCACCCCATTCCCAACTGAGGATGCTGGCACCCCTCCAGCAGGTGGGATCGTGAGCCACTGTCACAACTAAAGCTGCCATGCTTGTACTCCAGAGAAATTAACCCGAAATGATGACCAGCTCTGTGGGTATATTAGGAAACATATGTGCAAACTCTCAAAGGTTAGGAGAAATGCACGCAAACATTTTAAAACATGTTCATGCAGATTTTTAAAGTAATAATGCAAATTGGTGCATGTATGGAATGAAAGATGCTCGGAAAGAGTGGAAAAATGAAAAACTGAGTGAAAGCTAACCTGACAAATTCTTTGAACTTTAGTCAGAACAGAGGGGATTCTAGGATGAACTCTGGGTGGGACACAGGAGTCAGAACGGCTGACGAACAAGTGAATCCTACCTGAGAACTCTATGGTCACGTGGCCAACTGCAGTCACAGCTCCAACTTTTGACAAAGTATAGTTTCCAGAGTCATTTAATGTTAAATTACGGATGTGAAGGGAGCAGTCTGGGCCCGCCGTCTCTCGCCCAGTATAGGAAGGTCCATTAACTTGCCCTTGAGTAAGTGGAGGTAAGTAATAGACAAAGATCCGCTTTGTCACATCAGTTACTGTCCCTCGGAACCAGCTGCACAGGACAACCTTTTCCAAGGTTCCTCCTGCTCTTAGGGTCATGTTCTGTCCTGTTCTCGGATTTTCGGGTGTCCGTGTGATGGGTATTACTTCCTGGGCTTGAGTCAGCGGGAGGCAGGAACTGAGGATGGAGGCTGCAGTGAGGAGAATACAAGAGTGAACTCAAAATACATATTGAAGGCAAAATCAACAGTTGCTGGCAGGTGTGAGGGCTTTCAAGACATCAATCAATCCATTCCACCCCCAGTCTTGTTGGTCTGGCTTTTTCATTCTCGCAAGGAATGAATTAATGGGAACTGTAGTGCGACACCCTGCCCGGCTACCAGCTTGCGGAATACAAGCAGCTGGTGACCCAGTACAAGGAGAAACGGAGAAGCTTGGAGAGTCAAAGGGCCCGCGACCACTTTCACCTCCCAGGAGCGCCGCCGGCCAGGAGCGCCGCCTCCCCGAGGGCGACTGCCCCAGACGGCCCGGCCCGGCTCTCCCCATTGCAGGCGACGGCCGAGGCGACGGCCGAGTGCCCGGCTCGCTGCCCGCTCCCCGGCCCGTGCTGCGCGCACCGGCCCGGTGGGAACGCAGCCCGCCGCGCCCTTCCGCCGAGAACCGCCGGGCCAGGGGACGCGGGCGCTGCACCACGGAGCCGGAGCAGGGGCGCAGCCGCTGGCGAGCGCAGAAGGGGAAGGAAGTTGGGGGGCGGGCGAAGGGAGGCGGCCTCGCCCCGCGCCCGGCGGGGGCAAGAAGCGGCGCCGCGCGCTCGGACCGGCGGGGCTGGGCGGCGCAGAAGCGGGAGCGGCGCCGGGGCAGGCGGGGCAGGGGCGCGGGCTTCCTCCGGAGGGGCGAAGCGAGGCAGCCCCCGAATGCCGCGCTGGCCCCCTCAGGGCTGCTCCGTTCCCCTCGCCCCTTTCCCGCTTATCCTTCTGAGAAACCCGGAGCCGGCGGAGAGCGAGACATCCGCAGCCCGGCCCGGCCCCGTTTCCACATCTGTACGCGGCCGAGAGATGCTACGAGCGGGAAACTGTGAGAAACTGGGCAGGTTGCTTTCTATGCCGCCCCTTCTGGGAAGTCACGGTTGGCAGCTGATTTGAAGCGGCAGCAGAACACCGTCAGAACCGGTCGTATATTAAGCACCCCAGATGGGAGTTTGAGCGTGTGTTCAGGTGGGACGGAAGCATCTTAAGAGCACGTGCATCGCCCAGTGGGGATAGCCCTGCAGGAATCCCATCCTGATGCCGCATTTCCCTGCCCCTTTATTTATTTATTTATTTATTTATTTTATTTATTTGGAATGTGTGTATGCCATCCTATTTGCATAAGCCTTGGGGCGGCTTCCAACATCATAAATACATACGTATTTATTTACATACATATAAAAATACACCTTGTATGCCATTCTGTCAGGATCTGGGCTGCATTGGTGGCCGGAGGCAGAACCACCTCTGCTGTATTCGCAGATCGGTCCCAGGCCCCGCTGAAGCTTTCAGTCTGCCGATGCGCGCCAGCTGGGAGTCCAGCCCTTCCCCCCAGGCCTGGCCTCCGCGATGCAGCTCCTCCGGTCTGCTGGAGAGTCTGTACCTTGCTGCCTCAGCATCCCAGGTCCCCCTGGTCGCTGTGTCTCCTGCCCTTTCATCCTGCGTCAAGGTGCCACCAGCTCCTCTGCTTTTCCTCCTGCTTTCTGAGCTTGGCCCAAAGCATAACTACAGCTTGGACCTGCCATTAGATCTTTCAATTGGATTTCGGGCTCTGCCCCACTTGACGCTCTCTTGCCCTCGTCCCAGTGCCTCTGCCTCGTCTCTGGGCGCCCATGTCCTGCCACATCGTTTGTTTGACCCAACCTGTGCAGGGCTCCCCAGTGAAACTGTTTGCGTTTCCATACATTGCATCAACCGGCTGGTAAAAAGATCGCAAGACATGTTGCAAGAAAGCCTTTATTGGGATTTGTATTCTCAGAATCAGGACTCATACAATCCCCTCAGTTATGGCTGGGAAATGACCGACTCTGGCTCAGAGTGGACAGCTCCTTAGCCATGAGGCACCCGGGCTTCTGCTGATTCAGTCCCAAGTTGTGTGGGTCCTTTGCAGAGAAGAGGTGGGAACCCTTGCAGATGAAGATCCTTGCAAAATGCAAAGCGTGAAGCAGCTCGTGGTTCAGCCCAGCTTCCCCTTGCTGTCATGAGCTTCAGTTCCTCTCCATAACCTCAGCTCTTGCACAAGTCACTGTTCCCTAAATTTGTTTATAGCAGTGCAAGGGAAAGTGTCCCATGAATGCATGAAGCTGCCCCATACGGGATCAAACTCGAGCTTCGTCCTGCTCAGCCCTGTCTCAGGGGACTCGGGTAGGACACTTCTCCTCGTAGGGGGTCCTTCCGGGGGATTCCTCCTCGAAGGAGAAGCAGGAGCTCCCCACGCCAGATGTTCCCAAGAAGAGGTTGCCCCAGTGGAACTGGGAAGCCCGAGAAGGTCCTGGCCCCTCCAGGCTGATGCCGGCAGATCCGCCTCCTTTAAGACGGACAAGGAGGGGACTTCTCAGAAGCAGGTCCAGCAAGATGCTGCAGCTCAGCCCTGGTGGACTCTGGTAGTTGTCGCCATATCAGCTTCAGAGGCAGTATTAGGGGATGGCCCAGTGGGGCCAGAGCCCCAAATCCTTCATTTGGAGCCTGACCCCTGCTGTCCGGGGCACTTGCTGAAAACGGTATGGACCTTATGCTCTTCATTGCATGTGAACCCTCTGGGCCGGCCAGGGGTTTTGCCCACGTGTGCTTCACCTCCTCCAGCTGCCACCCCTCCTTCCCGAAATCCTTCTGCACAGAGACTTTAGAGCTGATATGGATGAGTACATGCAAAACTGTCCTGCGGAGCTGAGAAAAATGCTCTCTTAAAATGTGTATTAAAATGCGCTTGATAGACTGTGTACATTGTCATACAGAGTGAGAAAAAATGCCATGTGCTGAGCATCCGGGATGGAACAGGCTGTGACCCCGAATGAAACTGAGGTCGGCAAATCGGTCCATCCTCGGGCAAGGCCTGAAGACACTGGCACTCTGCATTCGGGTCCCTCAGTACACAGCTTGGTTTCCTGGCTCCAGGTTCTGTGAAAAATGGAGTTACATCAGTGAGAAACAGACTGGACAAGACACCGGGTGCATTCCCCCCTTTATTCCTTCTTGGCTTTCTCTGGGAGAGGTCAGAAAAAAGCGAAGCGTGAGGGGCCTCCACTTACCTGGTATATGTTGCTGACAGCACGGGCTATCCTGGGGTTTCCCTGGATCGTTTGTTTAAAAGAAAGAAGGATGCTGAAGGTCATTTGTGGCTATTCCCCAGGAGAAGCAGCGGCAGCCGCTGAATCACTGTGCAGCCTTCTCCCAACAGGCACCCTTCCGATGTATCGGACACCCTGTCTTCCCGTACTCCTGACTTTTTCTTATGCTGGTGGGGGCTGATGGGATCTGAAGCCCCAGACGCTGGGAGGCCCCATTCCGGAGGAAGCTGGACTAGAAGGGAGGGGTCGCTAGCCCTCTGGTGCCGTTCTGAGAAACTCTTCAATACTTACAGAAAAGGCAGCTGCTTTTCTGCCTCTTACATGCACAGGGGAAGCATTTCTTCAACAGGGCGGGGAATGGGGACTGCCATAGACTGTCCTCCAGCATCCTGAGCTGCCCAACGGGGTCAGGATTCTTTCTTCAAATGTTTTTGAAAGGGGTGGAGTGAACTGTTCCACTGCTGCGCTATTCAGCACTTTCTAGGAGTCGTCCTATGTTGCTGCCAAACGGGCTCACCGGAATGGAGCTCCAAGGATAGCTCTGAAATCTCGGCATCAAAGCTGCAAGGGATAAGGAGCCCCATTGGCATAGCCATCCCGAGGCTCCCTGTCCCGAGGGTGCTCTGCCACTTGCCCATGCTTTGGGGTAGTGCCCACGGAAGGGCAACCAGCTGCGAGGACTGTTAGGGTCACCCTCTGGGCCCACGGAGGCACACAAGAGGTGCTCTGAGGGGCACCCGTTATCACCTGCACCGGCAAAGGTGTGAGTTGCTGTCCTCCAGGGTGGAAAGGTGCTTCTCTCCTGCTCAGGAGGGAAGCTGCGAATGTCACCTCCCTGCCCAGGAGGGCGAGAAGGGCCTTCGCCGACGCAGCAGCACCTCCTCTTCCCCCACGCAGCCTGAGCTGGCAAAGAGTCTGCTAGCTCTTCCCACTCGGGCTGGTGTGGCCGCCTCTTTGTCCAGGCAAGGAGTAAACAGACTTGCAGGTGCAGAGGCTGAGACGAAAGAGGAGAGTTCCCTTCCTGAGCAGGTGGAATGAGGCTTTTGCAGTTAAAGGGTGCAGCTGGCAAGGAAAACCCCATCCAGGGTGTGCAGCCACAAGAATGTCAGTACCTCTCCAGGCCCAAAGGGAAATTCTTGCACCTTACACAAGCCCTGAGAAAATTCACGTGCTCTGCTCAGAAGGACATACAGTATGTGATTTCATCCTGATCCTTCCCCACCTCCAGTTCAAATGATCAGAAAAAACAGATCTAAATTACTGGCATAGCACTCAGTTGGAGACATGCAGCTTAAGCTCTCTCAAGATCAGCCAGGGGAGAATTTCCCCAAGCTTCCTCATGTTCTTCCTCTGCTCTGAAACCTCATGCAATTTTGGGGAAATGCTAGAAGGCTTCTGCAGTACAAGGCACATTCTCTGCTGACCGTGTGAACAGAGAGCGCCTGTGTACTTTAAACATACTCCAGAATCCACACTGAGGCTTCTTAGCAGACGGGATGATGTAAAACATTAAGTCATAACACATCCTCTTGCTGTTTGTCATTTCCTGGCCCTCTTCTCTGGAAAAAGGCTTTGTACACAGTTCACATTTTTACCAGCACTAAGTTTGCTGTGGATCCTGAAAATCAGTGTGCAATAGTACCAGCCATGGAAACAGTACCAGCATCTCTACCCCAAGACTTTACCTCTTCAGAACTGGAAAGGTTCGAGTAGAACGTGAGTGCACTCTGGTTAGGGATGTGATTCTTTCGACAACGGGTGCCTGAATGAGGGAGAAAAGTGGTGTCAAACGTTTACATTCAACCCACAGATTTACACTTTGAAGCAGCTAATTGGAACCCTTCCGGCACATGCCCTTCTGGATCCAGGAAAGAACCCAGGAGTGCTGGGTCCCCATCCCCTTATGGTTCTAGTGACTGGTTGCCCAGTAGCTGAGAAGAGACCTCAGCAGTCTGGGCTGCTTGCTTTGAGTGTCTTACTCACGGAGAAGGAAGTAGAGCAGGGCACTGGTCAAGGCCAGGATCGCAGCCGAGGAGCCCAGGATTATCCAAAGGCCACTGCGGCGTGTTTCCAGCAGAGGGCCTGAATAGGAAAGCATAGTTTTAGGAATGCTGTGATGCTGCTAGGAAGGACGTTCATCCAGCTAGGATGGATAAATCCAGCCTCTCTCTCTCTCTCTCTCGCGCGCGCGCGCGCGCGCGCGC